GGGTCAACTCCAGAGAACCCAAGTTTCCCACCTGCTCTCCCAGTCCACGTGGCTTGGCGATGCTTTACACCACTGCATCTGACACTGTGCATTGCACTTGGTGATGATTCTATGAAGCTCTCTACACACTGTTGTTGTGCTAATCTGAAGGCCACATGAATTTTGGAGGTCTTTAGCTATTGACTCTGCAGACAGTTGGCGACTTCTGCGCACTGTGTGCTTCAGCATGCGCTGACCCCCGCTCTGTCAGTTTTCATGGCTCAGTTGCTGTTGTTCCCAGTTTCTTCCACTTTGTTATAATACCACTAACAGTTGAGCGTGGAATATTTAGTAACAAGGAAATGTCACGGATGGACTTATTGCACAGGTGGCAACCTATCATGGTACCACACTTGTATTTACTGAGCTCCTGAGAGCGACCCATTCTTTCACAAATGTTTGTAGAAGCAGTCTGCATGCCTAGGTGCTTGATTTTATAGACCTGTGGCCATGGAAGTGATTGGAACACCTGAATCCATTGATGAATGATTTGGCAATATAGTGTGTGTGTGTGTGTGTGTATATATAGAGAGAGATATCTATATATAGTCCATGCGTTCATAGTTCTTAATGAAGTACTCAATTATAAGTGCACAAGATTGTAACACAGTCCAAATCGAATACGTTTATACAAATATATAAGTCATCCAAGCGTTTATAATTCTTAATACAGTGCTTTAAAACCTCCACCTTGTGTCTGCGTGATCTCAAGGCACAAGGTTTAAACACTGTATTAAGAATTATAAATGTGTCACCTACATATACAGTTGTGCTCAAACGTTTGCACACCCTGACAGAAATCGTGAAATTTTGGGAATATTGAGAAATTACTGATCATGCCAAAAAAACTGAGACAGTGATCATATGAAGCCATTTATTATCAAATAGTTGTTTGGCTCCTTTTTAAATCATAATGATAACAGAAATTACCCAAATGGCCAGATCAAAAGTTTACATACCCTGGAATGTTTGGCCTTAGTACCGACACACAAGGTGACACATACAGGTTAACATAGCAATTAAAATATAATTTTTCCACATCTGTGGATTTTTAAATTGCAATTAATTTGTTAGCTTTCGCATGGATGCACTGAGCAGGCTAGATACTGAGCCATGGGGAGCAGAAAAGAACTGTCAAAAGACCTGTGTAACAAGGTAATGGAGCTTTATAAAGATGGGAGTGGTATATAAAAAGATATCCAAAGCCTTGAATATACCAGTCTGTACCGTTCAATCACTTATTAAGAAGTGGAACATTCAGAGATCTCTTGATACCAAGCCAAGGTTAGGAAGATGAAGAAAGATTGCAGCCACACCAGATTTGTGGAGTGCACGACTAATACTTGTCCTGTGGACAGATTCTCCCACCTGAGCTGTGGATCTCTGCAGTTCCTCCAGAGTAACCATAGGTCTCTTGACTGCTTCATTGATTCATGCTCTCCTTGCCCGGCCTGTCAGTTTAGATGGACGGCCATGTTTCGGTAGGTTTGCAGTTGTGCCATACTCTTTCCATTTTCGGATGATGGATTGAACAGTGCTCTATGAAATGTTCAAAGCTTGGAATATTTTTTTTAAAACCTAACTCTGCTTTAAATTTCTCCACAACTTTATCCCTGACCTGTCTGGAGTGTTCCTTGGCCTTCATGATGCTGTTTGTTCACTAATGTTCTCTAACAAACCTCTGAGGGCTTCACAGAACAGCTGTATTTATACAGAGATTACATTACACACAGGTGGACTCTATTTACTAATTAGGTGACATCTAAAGGCAATTGGTTGATTTTAGTTAGGGGTGTCAGAGTAAAGGGGGCTGAATACAAATGCATGCCACATTTTTCCCATATTTATTTGTATAAAATCTTGAAAACCATTTCCCGTTTTCCTTCCACTTCACAATTATATGCCACTTTGTGTTGGTCTATCACATAAAATCCAATAAAATACATTTACGTTTTTGGTTGTAACATGACAAAATGTGGAAAATTTCAAGGGGTATGAATACTTTTTCAAGGCACTGTATATTGGTAATAATCTTGTTCACTATAAATTTCTAGTAGATATAATTTCATTGATAATAATTGTGCTGCACTTTTAAACATAACAAATTTAAGTTGGATGTGGGAACACATAACAGTGTACAGCAGCAATATTGAAGGATATAAGGTTTTGATGCAAATGTAATTTTTGATGATCAAACAAAACAAAAACAGGGGTGCCACCTCCAACTCCACAATATTAATGGGGAAAAGCCGCTTTAAGAGTAATAACTATACATCTTGGTCTAAGAAAAGGGCTACTCATATCAATTGTTACAATAAATTCTTCTCACATATATTAATTATAATACACACCAATCAACATCAACAAAGTGTCAAAATAAATATGAAAGTGTCCATAAAGAAGAAAAGTTCATGTAATAATCCCACAAAATAGCTATCCACACCATGTGCCCAAACAAAGATCAAGTGATCCAATAATGTAAGTGTGTTCACAAGCGTGAAGTGAGAGTAATTACTCACCAGACATTAAAGTGTTACTAAACCCCGGACCCTGCATTCACTATATCTGGTCTCCCCAGACCCTGCATTCACTATATCTGGTCTCTCCCGGACCCTGCATTCACTATATCTGGTCTCCCCAGACCCTGCATTCACTATATCTGGTCTCCCCAGACCCTGCATTCACTATATCTGGTCTCCCCAGACCCTGCATTTACTATATCTGGTCTCCCAGGACCCTGCATTTACTATATCTGATCTCCCCGGACCCTGCATTTACTATATCTGGTCTCCCAGGACCCTGCATTCACTATATTTGGTCTCCCCGGACCCTGCATTCACTATATCTGGTCTCCCCGGACCCTGCATTCACTATATCTGGTCTCCCTGGACCCTGCATTCACTATATCCGGTCTCCCCGGACCCTACATTCACTATATCTGGTCTCCCTGGACCCTGCATTCACTATATCTGGTCTCCCCAGACCCTGTATTCACTATATCTGGTCTCCCTGGACCCTGCATTCACTATATCTGGTCTCCCCCAGACCCTGTATTCACTACATCCGGTCTCCCCGGACCCTGCATTCACTATATCTGGTCTCCCCGGACCCTGCATTCACTATATCCGTCTCCCCTGACCCTGAATTCACTATATCTGGTCTCTCCGGACCTTGCATTCACTATATCTGGTCTCCCCGGACCCTGCATTCACTATATCTGGTCTCCCAGGACCCTGCATTCACTATATTTGGTCTCCCCGGACCCTGCATTCACTATATCTGGTCTCCCCGGACCCTGCATTCACTATATCTGGTCTCCCAGGACCCTGCATTCACTATATCCGGTCTCCCTGGACCCTGCATTCACTATATCTGGTCTCCCCGGACCCTGCATTCACTATATCCGGTCTCCCCGGACCCTGCATTCACTATATCTGGTCTCCCTGGACCCTGCATTCACTATATCTGGTCTCCCCAGACCCTGTATTCACTATATCTGGTCTCCCCAGACCCTGCATTCACTACATCCCGGTCTCCCCGGACCCTGCATTCACTATATCCGGTCTCCCCAGACCCTGCATTCACTATATCCGGTCTCCCCTGACCCTGCATTCACTATATCTGGTCTCTCCGGACCTTGCATTCACTATATCTGGTCTCCCCGGACCCTGCATTCACTATATCTGGTCTCCCAAGGCAAATCATATTCCACTATATCAAAGTGACCAATATCCTCACAGTCTTCCACATGGCAGATTCTTGCAAACAGGGTGAAACAGCACAAAGAAAGAGGTTTTGTACACCTTTGCCTCCAAAGTCCTCGCTTTGGGGTTGGTGATGTGACTCCAGTAGGGTTCTGGCAAAGTTGGGGTTCCCAAATTTCATGAGAGTGCACTCCTGCCCTATGCCGGTGTACTTGCCTCTCCTGTGGTGAAGCTCCTTCCTACAGGTTGTAAATCGTCTATAAGAAGGAGGGTTTGTGCTGTTTCACCCCGCTTGCTAGAATCTGCCATGTGGAAGACTGTGAAGATATTGGTCACTTTGGTATAGTGGAATATGATTTGCCTTCTGACATTTAAAGTGTTATTCAACCCACAACAGTAAAATCAGTCTGTACATGCAGTAAAGCATTCTTGTTATACTCACTTTGGAACCTAAGGGGTAATCCTCTGCATTGTGTAAAATTGCTGTTTGATCCTGACTTCTCTGATCCTCCCCTTCTTGCAGTGCCCCCTCTTATCTCCGGATAAGATATATTGTGTGGAGACACTCTGCACATGGTCAGTTTAGTGTGTATTGCTAGAGAGTTTTTTTTTTTTCTTGGGAGGGTGCATGTGATCAGCACAGGGCCAATCAGCACTGCCCAGACAGAGGTCAGGGGTTCTGCATCATCCTAGAAGAGAAAAAAACTCCTCCTACAAGGCTTCACCAGTGCTCTTCTGAACACTGATAGAAGTCATAAGACTGCTCTAACTGCTGATGAGAAAAGATATTTAGTTTATATTTACTAAAATAATTGCATTTCCGTGTACTGTGGGAGACCAGATATAGTGAATGCAGGGTCCGGGGAGACCGGGTATAGTGAATGCAGGGTCCGGGGAGACCGGGTATAGTGAATGCAGGGTCCGGGGAGACCGGATATAGTGAATGCAGGGTCCGGGGAGACCGGATATAGTGAATGCAGGGTCTGGGGAGACCGGATATAGTGAATGCAGGGTCTGGGGAGACCAGATATAGTGAATGCACGGTCTGGGGAGACCAGATATAGTGAATGCAGGGTCCAGGGAGACCAGATATAGTGAATGCATGGTCCGGAGAGACCGGATATAGTGAATGCAGGGTCCGGGGAGACCAGATATAGTGAATGCAGGGTCCGGGGAGACCAGATATAGTGAATGCAGGGTCCGGGGAGACCGGAAATAGTGAATGCAGGGTCCGGGGAGACCAGATATAGTGAATGCAGGGTCCGGGGAGACCAGATATAGTGAATGCAGGGTCCGGGGTTTAGTAACACTTTAATGTCTGGTGAGTTATTACTCTCACTTCACGCGGTGAACACACATTATTGGATCACTCAATCTTCGTTTGGGCACATGGTGTGGACAGCTATTTTGTGGGATTACAATATGAACTTTTCTTCTTTATGGACACTTTCATATTTATTTTGACACTTTGTTGATGTTGATTGGTGTGTATTATAATTAATTTATGAGAAGTATTTATTATAACAATTGATATGAGTAGCCCTTGTCTTAGACCAATAAATGTAATTTGTGGTAGCTCAGGGAATCATTTTTAGTTTTGAGCTAGAAATTGCATGCATTTAAATTTGTGGGGGATATCTAGATCACATTATGAGGGTGTTTCATGTCTATTTTTCTCTATCTGATTGTCACAGGTTGAGCAGCTAAAGCAACAGATATCACAAATGGATTCTGAAATGAGCCTATTGAGGATTGAAGTGGAACAGCTAAGGAAGGAGACGCAGAACACAACCTCAGCCAGTACATCAAGAGATAAAAGGTATTCCCAGCTCTTTTCATAGTGTCTCCATTGTTTTACCAGATCACATTATTATGTGGTACTGACTTCATACAGCTTCATTCATATAACATTACAAATTAATAGAATATTTTTTTGTTAGTTCCCTGGTTCACACGTGTGCATTTTGTGATGCATTTTTAGCACGTGTCTTCACATGTGAAAGTGAATGACGTTGCTGTAGAGGGCGTTCAGGTAGATGCGTCAGAGCCACAGTGCAAATTTGAAAAAGGGTCCTGTGCGATTTTTGAACTGTGAGATCTGAATTTGCAGTCTGTGCATTTCAATGGGAACTGTCAGATTACATTGTGGTTTTCAGTGCATTTCCCTGCCTAATTGATCAGTGCAGAGGAGAGAGGAGTTTTTCAGAAGCTCCTGATTGCCTGCAGTTTCAGCCAGGTACACCAGCCTTTCTCAACCAGGGTGCCTTGAGGTTTCTTCAGGGGTGCCTTGGCAAAATGTCCAAAAATTGACCAAAACATGTATACAATGCAGCAGGTTGATCAAGCCTGCCTCTTAGTTACACAAAGTCACAGATATTCATTGTGCATCATTATGACCTTTTAGCCGCCGGCGTCCTGACAACCAGTGACATCATCAGTTGATCAGGAGAATGTCAGCTGCCTGCACAGCATCCTAGTTTGATCCTCCCCTGCCCCCTCCATCAATGTGGGGTCACATCAGCTCAGCGATGGAGAAAAACTGAGGGAGAAGAGAAACCCTGGAATACTAGTCAGTACCAGTGTGCAAAAGTGTATTTGCTTTGGAAGAATAAATCTCCTCTAATGTTGGGTGTCCTACATGTGTGGATGTTGCTGCTAATAGAATAGTTTTTCACATTTTAGAATGAGGTGCCTTGGGACTGTCCATAATTTTTTTTTTATTTCTTGTATTTTTTTTTACATTTTCTTTAGAACACACACTGCAAAACAACCATTTCTTATTCCATCATACACATACACATTATCCCCATTCCCTTGCAACCCCTCTCCCAGTACAGAAAACCCTGCCCATTTTCGTCTTATCTCTTTCCCCTCCTAAGGAACCTTTCCATAATTTTAAAGGGTGCCTTGACTGAAAAAAGATGGAGAAACACTGAATTACATATTGGAAAAACGGAGTACACTTGCTGAGCTGTGTGTTAGAGGAAAAGAGGCTGCAGTACGGTTATTGGAGGCTCTTGTGTGCCCTTCTGTCAGCTAGACAGCCGCCTCCTCTGCCTCGGGGTCCTTGTGACCCTGCCGCAGGGACAGAGAGAATTAAAAACCTATGCAGACAGTTGATCCAAAAATGCCAGCAGAATCGCACTACAAAGGCAAACGGTTTTACAACCTAGGCTAGAGCTTGCATATTAACGGAATATTCAGCCAGTACACAATCATGGGTTAGAAATCCTATCATCTTCCTTTGACTGCATATTGAACCCTGTGCTAAAAGGAGAAATACAGCCACATACAACTTTTGTCCAGGTTAAACTTGCAATTTTCAGCGCCCATTGGCATCTCTAGTAACTGGTCCTCCTTTGTGATACATAGACAAAGCTGGAATTTTTATTTTTTTTTATTGGTAATTGAGGGACTTGCTTGAAGCTTGGATAAGCAGCTCCTATGGGCTATACCCGTATTCTCATCACCAGTCCCAAGCTGCAGGATATGGTTAGAGCAGTGTTTCTCAACCTTTTTTCAGTCAAGGCACCCTTTAAAATTATTGACAGTCATGAGGCACCCCATTCTAAAATGTGAAAAACTATTCTAATAGTTTTACCTAATGCAGCAACATCCACACATGTAGGACATCCAACATTAGAGGTGATGTATTCTTCCAAAGCAAATACACTTTTCCACACTGGTACTGACTAGTATTCCAATGTTTCTCTTCTCCCCAGTTTTTCTCCATCACTGAGCTAATGTGACCCCAGCACTGACAGAGTAGAAGAGGGTCAAACTAGGATGCTGTGCAGGCAGCTGACATCCTCCATATCAGCTGATGATGTCATTGGTTGTCAGGACGCTGGCGGCTAGAAGGTCGTAATGGTGCTCAATGAAAACCTGTGGCTTTGTGTAACTAGAAGGCAGGCTTGTCCCATCCTCTGCCAAGTTTTGGACAATTTTTGGACATTTAGCCAAGGCACCCCTGAAGAATCCTCAAGGCACCCCAGGGTGCCTAGGCACCCTGGTTGAGAAAGGCTGGGTTAGAGACTGGGTACCTGCCACATGAGACTGCTAACATGAAATGATTCTGTATTAATTATTTTTGGGAGAAAAAAAAAAAATATATACAGTATGTATAAATATTGTGTTTTATCTTTTTTTTTTTTCAAGTTGGGATGTTACATATGAAAATCTTGTATTATCATTTTCAGCCATTAGATGGCACCCTAGACTCCCTCTCCTGGGATTGCCAGGCTATCCTTATCTGCCTTCCTGAATAAGCCTGTTGTTTACTGAGCTAGAGCTGAAATAAAACACAGCTGAATGAGTCAGAGCATTGACTCATCCCCCTCCTCTACCCCTGCCCCCGCCTCTCTCTACTTTCCATCAGCAGTTTGGATCAGAGAGATACAGTCTGAAAGGAAACAGCCTGCTGCGCACGCTCTCTATCTCTCTCTCTCTTTCTCTCTCTCTTTAGAAAACCCAAAATGCTTTGTGAACCCTGCGTCATAAGTGCCTCTTGTGTTAAATGTTTGTTTATAAAAAAAAAAAGGCTTCAAATAAAAATAAATCAGATATCGGCCTAAAAAAAAAAACTAAATAAAAAAGAATTTACCCCAAACCATTTTTGTTTTCTCTTTTTTTTTCTTGCCAAAGAATAACGATTTACAATAATGTTTGAGGACTCTGTCACTGCAAGTCTTTAACGCGGAGCTCCACCCAAAAGGGGAAGTTCCGCTTTAAGGACTGCTCCCCCGCTCCCCATTAAGGATTGGCACCTTTGGGGGGGCGGGGGGAAGCAGTTACCCGAATTTGACAGGTACCCGCTCCCACTTCTGGTCTGATTGCCTAGACAGTGGTGGGCAACCTTTTTTTTCAACTGAGCCAAATCTCGCCAAAACCACGATTGAAATTTATTTTGAGAGCCACATTTTTAAAACTGAAAATACATCTCCCATATAGTAATTCATCCCCCATAGTAATTCATCCCCCATATAGTAATTCATCCCCCATAGTAATTCATCCCCCATATAGTGATTCATCCCCCATAGTAATTCATCCCCCATAGTAATTAATCCCCCATATAGTAATTCATCCCCCATAGTAATTAATCCCCCATATAGTAATTCATCCCCCATATAGTAATTCATCCCCCATAGTAGTTCATCCCCCATAGTAATTAATCCCCCATATAGTAATTCATCCCCCATATAGTAATTCATCCCCCATAGTAATTCATCCCCCATATAGTAATTCATCCCCCATATAGTAATTCATCCCCCATAGTAATTCATCCCCCCATATAGTAATTCATCCCCCATAGTAATTCATCTCCCCTATAGTAATTCATCCCCCATATAGTAATTCATCCCCCATATAGTAAGTCATCCCCCATAGTAATTCATCCCCCATAGTAATTCATCCCCCATATAGTGATTCATCCCCCATAGTAATTCATCCCCCATAGTAATTAATCCCCCATATAGTAATTCATCCCCCATAGTAATTAATCCCCCATATAGTAATTCATCCCCCATATAGTAATTCATCCCCCATATAGTAGTTCATCCCCCATAGTAATTAATCCCCCATATAGTAATTCATCCCCCATATAGTAATTCATCCCCCATAGTAATTCATCCCCCATAGTAATTCATCCCCCATATAGTAATTCATCCCCCATAGTAATTCATCCCCCATATAGTAATTCATCCCCCATAGTAATTCATCTCCCCTATAGTAATTCATCCCCCATATAGTAATTCATCCCCCATATAGTAAGTCATCCCCCATATAGTAATTCATCTTCCATATAGTAATTCATCCCCCATAGTAATTCATCCCCCATATAGTAATTCATCCCCCATATAGTAATTCATCCCCCATAATAATTCATCCCCCATATAGTAATTCATCCCCCATAGTAATTCACCCCCCATATAGTAATTCATCCCCCATATAGTAATTCATCCCCCATATAGTAATTCATCCCCCATAGTAATTCATCCCCCCTATAGTAATTCATCCCCCCTATAGTAATTCATCCCCCATAGTAATTCATCCCCCATATAGTAATTCATCCCCCCTATAGTAATTCATCCCCCCTATAGTAATTCATCCCCCTATAGTAATTCATCCCCCATATAGTAATTCATCCCCCATATAGTAATTCATCCCCCCTATAGTAATTCATCTCCCATATAGTAATTCATCCCCCATATAGTAATTCATCCCCCCTATAGTAATTCATCCCCCATATAGTAATTCATCCCCCCTATAGTAATTCATCCCCCTATAGTAATTCATCTC